ACAATAACAATCACACAACAATTCTTATAAAAACACACAATATGCGATCGCTCAACGAAACACGTTCCAATGCGTTGCCGACGCCTATCGACGCCGACGCCGGTCGAGGCGCGTCTTTGATTTCATTGGTTCTACCGGCGGATAACAATCAGCCATTATTTCCATCTCTGTCTGTGCTGTTGACCACCGCAAAGCCACAGAAACGACATATGTCGTACGCTATACGGCTGTACTGGAAGGAAGCCGGGATCGAGCTCTGATCACGTGTTGATCACGCGTATGAGTCATTACAGTTTTAAATAGTTGTAGTATAGTCTACCAAGTGTTGTGTATGGACAATTACAAAAAATATGTCACTTACCATTTCTGATCTCTAAATTCACCAGCAAGCGTGTCGGTCTTCGTAAGTGTCCCGGCATGACTGACGCATGGGGCTGTCCCGCGCTGCAGCGTTGTGCGATCAGGTATAGAAGAGAGGCGACGTTGCCAGGGAGGGCAAGGAAATGTTATCTATAGACTGATTGTATGGACTTGTTTGACTGACTTGATCCATTTAATTTCGCTGTTGCACGTGTTCGTAACATTTTTTTCTCGGAGTTGAAGGAAGGAAAGGTTGTTGAGTGCTGTCTCGTGGTACCTCGGCAGATGTCCGTGTGTATTTTTAGGTTATCTTTCGTACTCACACTACGAGATTTACATCCAACTCGTGTAGTTCATTGTCTCCATCTTCAACTTGTGCGGGTGTGCATGTAAGTATGCAAACGTAAAAGAAACTCTGTGCTACTTTGATAACAGGTACAGATACATCCATAGATTTAGGAAATGTAGGTATAAGGGATATTTTATCAAATTCCCGCATCAATACTTGCTACTACTTTTTGCTGCCTTGTGATTAAACATCGAGTCGAGTAGTTAAGAAATCTCATCTGTACACTTTCAATTTCATTAGAATAGATTTGGTAATATGGATGCCATACACTAGATGCATATTCCAGCTTAGAACGCACCAAGGTGCAGTATAAAGCCTTCAGTGCCGCTTCACTACCAAACGATTTACAGTTTCTTATCAAAAAACCAAGACTTTTTATAGCGGATGATACTATTGTACTAATATGACCTGTAAATGCTAATTTAACATCAAACAACACACCTAGATCTCTTCTGAACAACGCATCAAACTGACACCTTCCAGTGTGTAATCAAAAATTATTGGATTCGTTTTTCTGGTAAAAGAACAGGTTTTGCATTTGCTAACATTAAAAAATAATTTATTAGTTGAACACCATTCAAATATATGATTCAGGTCAGCTTGCAAGATTAGACAGTCATCAATACTCTTAATCTGAGCATATATTTTTAAATCATCGGTAAACAACAGAGAAGGTCAGGTTAAGCAGTTAGGGAGGTCATTGATAAAATAAAGAAAGAGAAGACGGCCTAAATTTGATCCCTGTGGTACACCGGATTTCTATCATGCAAGTAAGAAGAAATGAAATCTAATAAATGGTTGCTAAAACCAAAACGCTTAAGTTTACCTATGATTCTTTGGTGACTAATCTTATCGAATGTCTTTGAGAAATCCATATAGATCACATCCATCTGACCCATATTATCTAAGACCTCTGCAATTTCCTGGGTGATTTCAGTTAAGTTAGAAATAGTAGAGCGATTGCGCATAAATCCATGTTGCTTCTCAGATATCAGATGCGAGGTCAAAGGAAAGAAGTAGTTGTATACAGGTATGTAAAATGCCTCACCAAAATTATCCAATATAGATATAGCTCGGTAATTTCCGATTTTACTAGGGTCCGCAGCTTTAAAAATAGGGCACACTCTAGCGAGTTTCCATGATGACACAACTATGGTGTGTAGTGGCAAATCGATTGATCTACTCTTTTTTGCGAATATTGAATTTGCAATAAATTTAGAAAGATGGTTTTTAGCAAATAAAGTGACACTTAATGCTTCAAATATACAGTCTATCGTTTAATAATACAGCAGACGCTCGATAACGTAAACACGGGATAATGAAAACTTGCTCTAATGTAAACACAAACTTCGTTCTATAGGATCAAACGGAACGCGCGATAACGTAAACAATGTGTACGCTCGATAACGTAAACAACTCTCGGCGCACGGAAACAGCGCGACGGTAAAATGATGAAGCCTCGATGATTTATGTCGGGCGTCGGGGAGTCCCCGATTTATGATGTAGAGTGTAGGGGATTCACCTCTGCGATAAAATACGACAAACTCGGTCAGTCGTATGATCGTTTAGGATACGTTTATACGTACGTATGTATTTCATTTTTGAACTTAAGTGAATACATTGCACGCGTTAATATATTTTACGACTATGGCATCCACATCCTATAAAAGAAAGTGTTTAAAGTTGAGTGAGAAAGTGAAAATCATAGACGAAGTTGCACTAGGTGCGGGAGTGACACAGTTAGCAAAAAAATATGGAGTATCGAAAGTAACAATCTGTAAAATTAAATTTTTACAAAGAACGTGCAATACATTACATATAAAACTTAAAAAAATGCGAAGGCACCTAAAATGGAAAATTCCCTGTATAAGTGTTTTTAAAAACAACGGGAAAATCATGTCCCAGTTAGTGGCGAAGCACTTAAACAGAGAGCGAGACTGTTAAATGAAAAACTGAAAGAAACTGAAAATTTCGTAGCTAGTGATGGCTGGATACAACGATTCAAAACAAGATATGGAATTCGACTGCTGTCTATATCTGGTGAAAAATTATCAGCACAACCACAATTAGTGCAACCATTCAAAGAAAAATTGATGAAAACAATTACCGAGCTAGATTTAAGAATGGAACAAATTTACAAACGCAGATGAAAGTGGCCTTTATTGGAAAATGTTACCAAAGAAAACCTATGCTGCATCATTTGAAAAATCTACCCCGGAGAAACAACGAATAACGTTTCTAACCTGCACTAATGCTAATGGTTCACACAAAATAAAGCCACTGGTAATTGGGAAAGCAAAAAATCCGCGCTCATTTAAAAATGTTAATATCCCTGTTGATTATGACTGTTCAAAAACCGCTTGGATGACTAGCAGTATATTCCTGAAATGGTTCCACAGGTGCTTTGTCCCTCAGGTATGACAATCAATTATCACAAATGCTGTATTCATAATTTGAAGATGTGTTTTCAATTTGTAGGTAAAAGGTTTCCTAAAACAACAGAAGCTTCCAATAAAGCGTTGTTACTATTGGATAATGCACCAAGTCATCCTGCCGAGCAACAACTGAGGAGCAGGGATGGGCCAATTTTCGTCATGTACATGCCGCCCAACGTAACACCGTTAATTCAACCGATGGACCAGAATATAATAAGACTCACCAAACTATACTATAGGAAGTTTCTACTTTCGTATGTCTTATCAAACAATCCTGAAAACTTATCTGAGGCTTTAAAAAAAGTAACATTACGAGAAGCTGTTTTAGATTCACATATGGCCTGGAATGAACTTTACCAGCAAACTATTAAAAAATGTTGGAACAATCTCTTTTGTACCAATAATGAAGATGATGAAGAAGACGATGTCCCCTTAAGCGTAATTAGAGAACGTTTGCGATCCAATAATGATAATGTTATTAGTGTGTCATTGGATGTTGTTGATTTATTGAAAACAGTGAATCCCAACATTGTTTGTACTCCTGCTGATATTAATTTATGGAACGAAGATAAGCAGACGAATGATGCTGATAAGGAGGAGGATATGGACAGTGAGGATGATGAGAACGATCCCATTGAAGTCAGAAGTGTAGTGACTGACGCGCAAGCTATACAAGTTTTAACCAAGCTTTAGATTGGGCTGAAAGAAAAGAAGTGTCATACACGGATATTTTAGTTCTTCGTAAATTACGGCCGCAGGCATTGGAAGACAATGCTAAGCGCAAATTTACGCAGACAAAATTTGTTAATTATTTTTCTTCTAATTAAAAAAATACTTATCGCTGTTAGAATATTTGTTTATTTTGTTATAAATAGTATGTATTAAACGTTTCTTTTAATAAATCAAATATTATATAAATCACGTTCGCTAATGTAAACATTTCGATAATGTGAACCACACTTGGATTAAATTAGTTTACATTATCGAGCGCCTGCTGTAATCAGTTTGTGTCACAAATAAAGTCGATACCATAGATACAGTAAAATTTTTGGGTGCCAGTACTCATATGTGTTGGGAAAACATGTTAACCATATTCTTAGGGAACTATGGAAGACCATTGATTAGGAATCAGAAACGTTGTGTTTCTAGTAATACTCAAGAATGCCGTACGCACTTTGGAACTGTAGTCACTATATGCATATGTCTATAATATTTGCACTACAAAGCCATGTACCTAAAAATCGTTACTCTTCCATCTCTTTATATATTTATCTGCTTATGTTATTTATCTACATAATAATTTGAACGCACAGTGATGTACATACTTAGAATACATAAATCAGATATACCTAAATATCGTATACAAAGAACTATAAACGGTTCTAATTACTATGGAATCCACCTTTATAATATGTTCTTCCTGAGGCACTAAAAATTTCTGGCCCCGGCTCGTATAGAATTAAGGCTTACCTTATCTATAAAGCTTTTTATACCATGGAAGAATTTTTCAATAATAACTGTTCGGATCTCTTATAATACTGTTGTATAGTGCTTGTTTACTTTTGCTATGTTAATTTGGTCGGATGAGTTTGCTCTATAGTTTTGTATTCAATTTACAGTCATAATAATCATTTTACAGTTTTTCTGTTAATGTTGTTCTTTATAAATAAATAACGGCTATACAAAAGCTAGAGATGCATAATAGCAGGTTTTGGTACAGATGGTTTCCAATTCTTGATACCATCATTAAAATAAAACGATCGTAGTTGATAATTCTGTACGCACGTTGGTATCATAACTTTTAACAATTATTGTCATGAAGCTGTAAAAAAATTGAGGTAATTTAAAAAGAAGTGTACGGTTGTGGACACTATCGTTGCCTTGCCATGTTTACTTTTAGTGCACGATATCTATAATTAATGTTTCTCTACTGATATGGAATATTGTTTTTTCAGAGCACCTGATTTTGGAGACCGATCCAGAGAAAGGAAAAGGAGAGTATGCATTCGACAATGCTGGTTTTAAAGGTAAATATATCTTACAAGCAAAACTTTTAAACGAATGAGATCTTGGGAATGAAGTTTTTTGACTGTTCCAAGATCTAGGAGGTTAGTCTGTCTTTTTTACACTAAAGGTCTAAATACTGGGGCACCGCGACCACTATAAGGAGCTTTAAGAAAGTTTGTTAGTCCAATTTTTGAATTGACTAAGGTTAGTTGAACTGGGGAAAACCTCTTCAGGTAGATTGTTCCAAATCTCGATGCCCCAGGGATAAAGGAGCGGTCGTATCGGCCAGTATCTGTACGCGTTTTGCATTGTTCCTATTTTTGGCAGCGATATCCTTGCGACGTTTGATAAGTAGCACTTCAGCTGCTGTCGCATTTTCTTTTTGTTCGATGTAAGTCGACGCCTTTTGTAGACCTTTTAATTCCTCAGAATGTGATATTTAGCAGAGATTTCTGTCTCGTTGTCACTAGCATCACTCAAAACTGACTCATCGGCATTGTTAGTTCATCGCCACCAATTCATCACCATTAATCCACTCACTAATATCTTTCACACCCTGCTATTTTTACGACGAGCTGGTGTAAATTTTCGTTGTTATTCTCATATCCTATTTCTTGCTTAATTATTGTCGACCAAGATTTTTGTTATTTACTCGGCTCCATGCTTCTGCTATCCAATATGCCTCGTTCTTGATGTTAATCTCTTTTAAACAATCAACGAGGTTACAAGCATCAACTTAATCTAAAATTTGCTCTAATAACAAACGTCTGTAACTGCATTGTAAATTTTCTGAAACTATTGCGCTTACAAAAATGTTTAAACCAGTCTTTCCCGGGCTTTCCTTCCTTAAACTGGATAGTAAGGTGGTTTTCTTGTACATAGGTTTGAACTATTGCTTGTATCCCTGGTTTAGTGAGAGCAAACCCTCATTTTGCCATAATTTTTATCTTATCACTTAAATATACTTCCATTTCTTTGGTTAGAGAAGTTTTTCTTCCCTGTTTACCAAGTGAACGAGTACGTCTTCTCGAAAGAGCAGATTTGTCAATTTTAAGCTGTTTAGCTGCATTTCTAAGAGATAAAGTGCCATTATCTATTAGTTAAAGGGCGGTTTCCACGTTCTTTTTGTCGTAGGGGCGCTTTTTGGGAAGGTAAACCTTCGGCACTATTATCAAAGGTATAAAAGCTGTCTTGTTTTTTACATGGCAGGTGTCTTGTTTTTGAACTTTGTGGTGTCTCGTTTTTGCACCTGTTATTCACGACGTGCCTACTTGCCAACAAATAAAAATAGACTAAATTCGATATGGCACTATCATAGCCGCATTTGTTATTTTGAAAACGCGATACTTGCCGAGTCTCTACGACCACGTACAGCGGTGCAACGGGAAAAGGTTGTAAATACAAATTAAAAGTTTTTTCAAGCAAAATGCACAATCAGATGCGATAGTTTTTTTCTCGATGTTTGTGTTTACGTTTATTTATTATTCATTACATTTTTCAATTGTACTATATATATATATATATGTGGAAGTAATTTGTAACGTATTTTTTACAATGTTATTGTTTTTTGCATTGGGAAAAATTGAATGTCTTGTTTTTGACCGAAATTTCGACTGTCTCATTTTTGCACCACTTGACCATATCGGTCTGCCTTGGGAATAAAGGATTGAAAAACTAGTCATTGAATAGAGCGACATCTATCCAGTAGGGTTGTTTCGTTTTAAACATTTTGTTTTAATCGTGTTTTAAACATTCGCTTAGGTTTAAACCAGTTTTTGTTTAAAACAGTGTAAAACACTTAAATTGAACAAGCGTTTTTTTTCTTCATTTTCTTTATTAATATAATAAACAAAAATAGGAAATGTTCTCAAATACATTATACACACTTTTTAACATAAATATTATTTATTTATTTATTAATAATATTAACACAACAAAAATTGGAAAACTTGAACAAGCGTTAACAAATTCCCTACACCGTTTCAGTCTCATAGTCATCTAAGTGATCAATCTGATATCTGATCAGTCACGTCATTACTGATGGAATTAAACTCTTTAAAAATTGATACCAACTTAGCAGCTTTCACATTGCTTAACCGATTACGCAGTTTTGAAAGGACTAAACCGTATGATAAGAAGAGTCTTTCTATGTTGGCTGACAATGCAATAGATGTATGAAGCTGTTGAGCAAGTGCCAAGGCTGTAGTATTTATATTTTTCATAGAACGCCACTATGCGAATGGTTTTACATTCTCAATTAGATGTTTAGAAAACATATATCGTTTAAAGGGTACACACTGCCTGTTAACTATACTAAGTGACATATAAATCCGAACACCAAGTTTAAATGGTTTTATTTTAATAAAATTTTGTATAAGTACTTAATGAAGCATAATAAGTAAATGAGAAAAATTTCAAAATGATTGCACTGCTTTAAAGCCCTTTGACCTTTAATAATGTGTGGATGCACCCTGATGTGCTACGCATTCTCCAACGTGCCTAGGCATGCTTCTGATCAGGTGGTCAATGTCCTCCTGTGGTATCTCATTCCAGGCAACCACCAACTCCTCTCGAAGTGCTTCTAGAGTCTGAGGAGGACGTTGCAAATTGAGCAATCTCCTACCCATCATTATGTTGAAAGAAGTCTATTGTGACTCTTTCAACATGTGGTCGGGCATTATCTTGTTGGAAAGTTGGATCTGCCAGGGTGTCAAGATAGGGTAAAAGATGGGGTTCTAGAACTTCGTGGATATAACGCTGCGCGTTCATGTTACCTCTGATGAAGATTAAAGGTGACCTGGAACCATAAGCTATAGCACCCCAAACCATAACTCCAACAGTGTGATGAACATGCCTTTCAACAAAAAACTGTGGATTCCTCCTTTCACCACGTCACCTTCTAACCCTGGCACGACCATCGTGCATGCCTAAACAAAATCGAGACTAGTCACTAAAGACAATACTGTTCCATTCCTGATCCCAGAGTGACCGTTGTCTGCACCACTCAAGGCGATTACGTCGGTGTTCTAGAGTTAAAGGGAGGACCCAGTCTGGCCGGTATGAAAACAAGCCAAAACTTCTCATTCGTCGGTAAACACTTCGCATGTCAATAGGTCTTCCTTGTTCTGCAAACCATTCATTTGCAATGGACCTGGTAGTGGAGAAACGGTCCCTTAAGGCCAATAATCTTAGGCGGCGATCTTCACGGTCTGTTGTTCTACGGCGGCGTCCAGTGCCCCTTGCTCTTTGCGTACGGCCTTCTCGAAGCCATGCCTGACAACACCTAACCGCAGTGTCTACACTTCTTTGCACTCTAACTGCAATTGCCCGAAAAGAAAGTCCAGCTTCCCGAAGTCCCACTATACGGCCCCTATCAAACTCACTAAGTTGACGAAATCGTACAGGTCTCCGTACTCTAGGCATCGTAACCGATCGTAAAGGATGTCAAGAACCAAAATCCGCCAACGTTGATTCTTTACTGCGGCTGAAATATTCATTTTTAGAGCGTTAGTGAATTAAAAAAAAGCAGTATAAAAACCGGAATGTCCAACTGATAAGGCTGAAAATTGTTCACTTGTTATTTACAGTAAGATAAATACATTCACCAACTCTTATTAAAATAAAACCATTTAAACTGGGTGTTCGAATTTATATGTCACTTAGTATAATAATAATTGGCAATGCTTCTGGATGGTAGGTTTCTACATATTCCATGCCAGTTTCTGTTTGCTCTTGGCTGAGTTTATTGCCTCTAAAGCGATGATCAAGCAAATTTGCCAAAAAATGAGCTGGAGTCAAAACCATTTATATGCTCCTCGACGTTATTTGTATCACTTCGCAAAAATTCTCCATTTGCTTGTTCAGTCTCGAATACTTCTAAAAATTCTAGCCATCTCTGTAGCCTCTCCTATAGTGCAAGTGTTTCTTTGGACTTTAATTTTTTCAAATAGTGTTGTGCATTTGTCTTTAAACTGGTAAAAATTTAAAATTCAAATTTACCTGTATTATTATCTGAGTAAACATTCTTTGAATATTTTTAGAGTTTCTGATGTCTCAACTAGCGTTAAATCCTCATCTGACTCGGAATCATAGATAATTGACATTGGTAGATGAGAATTTTCAGATGGAACACATTTTTGTATGTTTCTTCATAGGCAGCACTAGTCCAGCCATAATTACTTTACATTTTTTACATTTAGCAGTCACTGATTTTTTGTTAATATCATTAACAACATCAAAATAGGACCAAATGGCATCTTTCTTCCTCCCTGTATACGACATTTTTCAAAAAAGGAACACCACAAAATAACTTACAGTAGACGTTATTGCAATAGCCAACTTACAAGGCGAATTTATAAACAGTAGTCTGTGGTTCTCCCAGGCTAATAGTTCCTCATTGCAATTGGTTTTCTTATTTCGGGGATTTACCGGCACAGCCTAACGGCGGCGTGACGCGACGTAGTTGATAACAGCTGATCGCGACTGTTTAGTACACGGACATTAAATAAGGTATACGAGCCCCTTCCCACTTCAGTTGGCCCACTTCAAGATTTGTACCAAAGTATGCCTTTATAAACTAAACATGACGAAACTATTTACTTCTAAAACAATTTAGCTTCTCAAAAACATTTTAGATACACTCTAGTCGTAAAAAATACATATTTGAAATCACTTAGACCTATAACTAATAGAACATCTTAACAAATAAACAATGTGCGAATAAATGCGCGAAGTTAACGATGCAACAATTGAAAGATTACCATTGAGTAACATCACCTTTATGTTTTATTACGGCTGAAATTCTTTGGGGCATAGTGTTAACCAAGTTTTGGCAAAAATTTGGTGTAAAACAATCCCATATTTCTTGAAGCTTTTGTCTCAGTTCGGTGATTGTACGAGCAGAATGTCGTCGTAGAACCTTTTTTATCTCGTGCCACAAAGTTTCAATAGGTGACAGATCTGGACTGCTAGAAACCCATTTCAAAAGTGGCACATTATTTTCTTCCATCCATTTTATAGCCTTTTTTGCTGCACCATCTTGCTGAAACACAAAATCTTGGCCGGATGTCAAACATTCTTCCATCACTGGTAAAAGTGATTCTTTTTTCTGTACATCAATAAAATAAAGTTTTCCTACTCCTTTTGATGACATACTGCCCCAGACCATAATGGATGCTAGACATTTCACTTTTCTCTTCAGACAGTCAACATGGAATGCTTCATTTTTTTTTGCCCATTAACTATGTTCTTTAGCCGATTTTTCTTTTGCAGTGGTGTTAATAGTGTGTTAAGTTGTGCAACTTTAGGGTTTTTACTTCCCTTTTTTTTATAAGAAAACTTACCTTACAAGTGCTAAATCCCAGTTTGTTGGCCTCTCTATGAGTTGTGGACCTCGAAATTCTCCTTCCAACAGCGTCACTCCACAGAGCACTTAATTGTAAATAATTGGCACGCCTGTTTTTCACGATTATTCTTCTTAATGCTTTTCGGTCGGTATTTGTGATATTACTTTTTTTCACATATATCGTGGCTTAATATTAACTGAACCAGTTACGTTATATCTTCTAACAATATTTCTCACACTGTACCGCGATAAGTCTAACAAAGTTGCAATTTCTGAGTTTGATTTCCCAGAATTAAAAAATTTAATTATCAGTAACCGAATTTTCTCACTAATAACCTTTCCTCTACCCATTTTGAAAACCTTAACTACCCTAAACTATTTTAAACGTATTCTGACAGCTGTGGTTAATATGGCTTTTATTTTTCACAGCCACCTATGCGTTATAGACTTATTTTGCATTGAAATGAAAATAGGTTGATATGCTGTAATTGCAACATGTGTTATTTTTATGCTGCAAATTTGATTAGGGAGTGATAAAGTTGGTGTTTTCTACTATATATTATTAAAATATTCATTGTTAATATTTTAAACCTATAACACCCTGCTACATTTTTATTATTTCTGCTTGATAAGAAAAAAACTAAGATTTCAATAGTTGGGCTAACTGAAGTGGGAAGGGGCTCGTATATTATTTAGTAGAATAATAGATCGAACATTTTCAATTAATATTATGAAAAAATATGATTTAAACATTGTTTTATTTGTTTAAAACTAAATATAAAAACAAAAAAAAGCATGTTTAAAACAAAAAAAATACGTTTAAAACAAAAGAAAAAACGTGTTTTGTATAAAATAAAAAAATACATGTTTTTTTCAACCCTGCTGTTCAGGCATTTTTTTTTTATTTTTACACCACACTAGAAGAGCGTTGGGACGGACGTGTTTAAATGTTCTTCGTTTAGCTGATTTTTCGATTAACAACAAAAGAAGTTTGTGTGTACTGGAAGCATTTCTACACGCAAGGATAGTCACACGTTCTTTATTGCATTTGTAACCAGGAGCTCCAGATTCTTTAGAAGCTAAACTTTTCGCGGGTAACATTTCATAGTTTAGGCCCGTTTCGTCGCAGTTGTACATTTGTTCTGGATTTAATCCATACTGCTTCATTAATTATTTAAAATGTTGTCCGGACTTATCGGCAGATAACTTTTCTCCGCAAACTTTTAATTCTCGTGTACCCTGTCGTTTTTGCATCTATGCGGCCAACCATCACTGGTTGTAAAGTTATCGGGCGCTTCAATAACTGGCAATTCTTCACTTAAGTTGACCGCCTTTTACTTTAGAATTGGTCCGGAAATTGGTATTCCACGTTCTCGATTCTGTGTAAACCACAGATATAAGGCATCGTCCACTTTTTTGATATTCCCTCTCTTCCATAGTTTTCCGAGACAGCCGCGATGATGTCAGAACACTAGACCACTTTTCAATTTTCTCGCGTTGTTTCTTCCATTCTGAAATAGTACTCACGTGCACACTCAAATCACCTGCCACGTTTTTAAGCAAATCACCTCTATCTAAACGCCTCCGGATTCTGTTCTACGGTAATAACAACGCGTTTACGTTTATTCCTATGCTGCTCCGTCTTAGCGATCATAAAGCTGACTGAAACAAACATACACGCACACATACCAATCACGCAAATGCCGAAAGGGAACTACCGGCGGCTATTTCGGATCATGCCCGATTTCCCGAACAACTTTGGTTAAAACGGAGAAATTATTGTATATTGTATAATAACAGCGGCCGAAGATACGTGCGGATCCGCTTCAATGAATAGAAATAAAAAGCTAACAAGTTGGTGGATCGCCAAAATTAAGGAACAAGTGAAAATCAAAAAGATACTTAGGGACCAGGACCGACAAAACTTACAATGACTATAAAAAAGAAAACATAAAGACGCAGAAAATGATACTGGAAGGGAAAAAACATGGGGAAGATTTTGGGACTAAGATGGAACAAGACAGCAGAGGAAACCAAAAACTATTTTATAGAGTTTTGGAAACTTTAAGAAACCCTAAACAGTATAATCTCAGGCATATCAAAGACAAGCATAACCAAAACATTACGGAGCCTAAAAAGAGGCAAGGTGGAGACAGCACTTTGAAGAGCTCTTGAACACAGCGAGACAAATGTGACTGCAAATGACACTTCAGTATTCCCACAACTATAGAGGAATCACGCTGCTAAGCATATCTTTGAAAGTATTGGAGGAAAGGGTGAGAGAACACGTCGATGACGATCTAGATGAGGCGCGGAGTGGATTCAGAAAAGGACATAGCAGACAGGACCATATATTCACAATAAAACAGCTAATCGAAAAACGTAATACAATGAACACGGCACTAAGCCTAGCTTTCTTAGAACTGGAAAAAGCGTTCGACAATATTCCAAGAAGAATTGTGTGGGACAGCATGGCAAAACGAGGAGTACACAACCACCTAACAGACTGTATACAAAGCATATACGACCAAATACATGCTAAGTTAGAAAGAATAACATGACGTCAGAGGAAATTATCATAGGAGATGGGCTGAGACAGGGAGGAATCCTGAGCCCTGTATTATTCATTATGATTATGGATGATGTAATAAAGGCCGTCAAAAGCAAAATTAAAAAAGTACATGTCGGTTTCTACAAAATGAGGCCAATAAATATTTCAGAGTGCGCATTCGCGGACGACCTGTTATTGTGCGCTAATACCCCAAAAGACTTGCAAGATAACCTTAAAATCTGGATCCAGGAATTATCGAAGAGAGGTTTACGTTTACATTTAGCAACATCCTCACATACTACTGTAAGATAATTTACATTCATTTTGCACAATTGTTGCTACTTTTCTCAATGTTATTGCAGCTCCTGATGATGATGGCAAAGACCATTGAAAGCTAGAGAGATTAAAGAGTATAAAGAGTCCTCCTTGCTTTAATTTTCTCGAATTTTGTTGAATTACACAAGTATCAAAGTTCTTGATAAAGAAAAATACCTTTCCAAACGTTTATTCCTGGAAATGTCCCACATTTTCATGAATAACAACTGTATCAACAAAAAGACAGATGTTAAACAACTGAGTGTCATTTACTCATATTTGCTAAACTGCGAAAAATTGGAGAACTTACATATCTCCCCAAATTTTGACTTTTCACAACCATAAATAGAATCTGTATCTTGGCCGATTCCACCAGTAAATTTCATTCCACTCAAAATCTAATAATTCTCTTCTCACGATTTAATAATAATTGTTAATTTAATTTCCCATTAATTAAAATATAGTTTATTCAACTGCCTCTGGTCGGTTTAACAATTTCTTACATAACATGCTGAAAATCACATCATCTGAAGTGATTTGGCAACGTGGGCACACGCCCACAATTCGTTCCATCTTTCAACACAGACATTGACAACCTTCGGCCTTCTGTCAAAGAGTTCATCTCACTCATTATTCCATGACCACCATTTTATGCAATCATCAAGTGGCTTCACGATGTAATGCGTTAATGTTTTTTAAATAATTTTTAATCTGTTTTTAACTTGTTCTTGTCATATTTTATACAATTTTGACCATTGTATCATCTATCCAGCTCTCACCATGTTACTGGACGTTTCCCTCATCCTATACATAAACAACAATTAGCAACATCCTCACATACTACTGTAAGTTGAGTCAATTTAAATTCATTTTACACTATTGTTGCTACTGTTATCATTGTAATTGCAGCTCCTGATGATGATGTCAAAGTCTATTGAAAGCTAGAGAGAATTAAAAAAGTATAAAGAGTCCTCTTTGCTTAAATTTTGTCAAAGTACCCAACAAAAGGCGGAAGCTTTAATTTTTCACCTATATATGTATATATATATATAATATATATATGATAATTTTCTCTTTGTAGATCCTTTGGGCTTGAAGTACCACAGCAAGTGGCTATAACCAGCCGCGTGGTTGTGGTTATTTGTCGCCTTGAAAATTCGAGGTCTTCTAGCCATTTTATACTACAATGTGTAGGTTGGCTCTTGTTGTGGACTTCGTGTGTCTTTTTTTTCCTCTCCAACTTTGTTTCCTCAGGTTACACCCGTATCCGGATGTATGGGCATGTGTCTCTACTTTTGTAGTTGCATATGTGCATTCATTTCGGGCCTGATGAAGCCAACCAGCAGAAATACGTATCGCTCGGGTTACCTCTCCTATTTTCTGCTCGAATCCAATTTTTGCGGATTTTGTCCATTATTTTCCTATTTTTGTTATATACCTTTCTCCGCATGATAATTTTCTCTTTATATATATATATATATATATTGTATGCGATAATCGGGGTTCTACTGTACCTTAGCGCGTAACTTTGAAACTTTGCAAGGCACATGTTCTGTGTTCATATCGATAATGAATGCGCGAATTACTGTTATCAACTTGCTGAAGGTTAAGTGTCGACGTCTTAAAAATCGAATCCTAGCTATAAACGAACCGAACCTTTCCTTTTACAATTAAAAATCTAACGGTTGTTCGTAACAACAAACTGCATGAACAATACAAATTGCACAATTATATTGTATGTACAACCATTGTACAAGTTTAGAGGCATCTTAAAACGAATTAACTATCTCAATTAAATATCGTTCTTACACCATTAAACATTGTCATTTCAAGGTAGTTCGATGTCAATTAAACTAATGTCGGTAATGTGCTAGAAATCGCTAATGACAGCTTATCTGCAATTAAACTATATAAATCTAATCTATAAAGATGTTGTGGAAACGTGGCTAACAAATCAATTAGCAGTAAAACGGCAATGTTGTAGAGGAAAAGTATGAAAGTTATACAGGATCCGGCACGAACCCAGGTCCGTTTTTAAAAAATCACAACATCGGCAATTTTTACCCAACAACAAATTTATTGACGGATTCGGGTTCACAATGAAATAGCGTTGGTCACAATTAAGTATGGAAAATCACATCCGTCTTGTGGTGAACGTTTTTGACGATGCATTGCTGGAGGCCTGAAAATATTTTCCTAGCCTTCCACCACGTACGTGTCAGGATCGAACTATTGTATTCGACCAGCCAAGATCTTTGCTGCCAACTCCACCATGCATGCCATCAATTCAAAGGGTTCCCTACACTATGCGGGAGGTAACATTCAGGCATAAGATCGTGAGACGAGTGCTCTTGTCTCTCGACATCAACAAAGCTTCTGGTCCGAACTTGATTCCTGTCATTGTACTGACCAGGTGTGCAACGGAGCTTGCTCCAGTTCTTTCGCGTCTCTTCCAGATATCTTATGAATCCGGCACCTTCACAGAAAACTGGAAATTTGCTCATGTCCAACCAATCCCAAAAAAAGGACCCTTACAACTACAGGCCTATAGCTCTGCTGTCTGTTATAAGTAAGATGATGGAGTGGTGCATAAATCGCGAGCTTCTGGACTACCTTGAACGTCACAGCTTGATTAGCGACAGGCAGTATGGTTTCCGGCACCAACGATCCTAGCTTACGTCACGCAATTGTGCAGTAAACTCATCCAGTCTTATGGTGAGGCACATGTCGTTGCTCTTGACATCACGAAAGAGTTCGATCAGCTGTGACACGCTGCCCTCTTAAGCAAACTTTCATCTTATGGCCTCCCAGAAAAGATTTGCAGCTGGTTGGGCGACTTTATCCAGATCTGGCCGATACGACCGCTCCTTTGTCCCGAGGGTGTCGAGATTGTGGAAGAATCTACAAGAGGAAGCTTTTCCCAGTTCTACTAACCTTAGGCAGTTCAAAAATCGTATTAACAGAATTTCTTCGCGGTGTTCCGGCATTTAGGCTTCTGCCTGCGCGGCCGCTTCGATATAAAAAAAACTACGGTAAACGGGTAAGATGGTCAAGAAAATATACAATGGATGTTGCGATGGACGTGGTTAATAAAATTCACTAAATAATCCACTACATATATTCACCGACAACAAACAGAGTTTTACAAGACGTTGGCCGCAGCGGCGCAAGAGCGTCTCCTCTTCTTGAGTGTCTCCTACAATGTTGCCGTTGTGAACAAACTATCCACGAAACTGTTCACTGCACGCGCGGGAAATTCACATGGTCGGAACACTCTTAACCATCACAATGTACTGAAAGTTTTTCTTTTGAGCCTGCCGCCGTTTCACCTCTTCTTTGGAGCGTTGAGAAACTTGAAAATAATTCATGGCATACTGAGATATTTGGGAAAAAAAAATTGGACCAAACCGTTTTTATTTTTTTCTAACTTTATCTTAAGATATATCAGAAAACCAATGGAACTTTTTCATTGGCACTTTTAACGCTCAGAAAAAGGTACTATCAGATACAATGTGTACTTTTTTTTGGACCATATGAAGAATTAAGTTGATGATGGTTTCTCAAAAACGAAACGTCGGATACAACATTCAAAAACACCATCATGTAGTGCCTAAAAAGTTACATTAGGTTTTTTTTGATATTTCTTAAAATAAAATCACAAAAAATAAAAACGATTTGGCCAAATTTTTTGTCCCGAAATAAAGTCTTTCAACGGCATGTAAATACCGCCCAAGGAACTCAACTTTGTTCTAGTTTAACCTTTAACAGGTATAGGTATTATCTTGGATACCCTCCCAACCAACAATGATCACTCCTATTAGAGTTGCAAGAATGATTATACAGTATTCCTTACACAGCATTGTATACTGTAGGAACATTGGCAAAACCCTCTTAGAACAGCTATACAAGCGGAATGGGCACACCTAATAGGACACTTCGGTCATTTAAGATGTTGTTTAAGGGCTGCAGGTAACAGTTATAAAACAAAAGTGTAAGCCTCGTGCAGCCGCTATAGGACATTTGCGTCAGTGCAAGATTCAGTTTTTGTCAACTATACAACTATTCTGTTTCGTGATTCTACCTTATTGCACAATTACACTAATGTTTATCACTTTTTATCTGTAATTTCGAACTGAAACATAATTATTTAATATCAAATAGAGGAATAAATGTTTGCCCAATATGGCGGGTGGTTGTGTATAATGATGGCATCGTCCATGTTGTCTTTAGTTTATTAGAATATTTTGGTGTTGCCTGCAGGTGTTATACAACAATTTGACAAATGTCAGAAATCAAATACCGACATAGTCGAACGATTTACCTAGAATTTGTACCAGATCTATATCTTCTGTTTGAACAGTTGATAAAACCTATTTAACCAATATCCATGAGTTATTTGTATTAAAACATTGGTTATGGCATTTTAACTAAAATATGATAGCAGAAAGTTAGGTTATGGTGAAGTTGTATACCAACATATTTAGCATATGTACAGCCTTTAACAGTTACTAAACAACAGTTGTATAAGTGCTTCCGTTTTCCGTTGGGAGCAATTTCTTGGCTAAAGTAGTAAATTTGCACAGCAAAACAACAAGGCTCTGGTTTGTTTTATAAACGTTACCATGGATGCCACAACACAACCATTTTGACTAACCTGCAAATATGCCGTTTAAACTAGTTGTATAAACGTTTATGCAACAGTAAAAAATTTGTCCTATAAGGTGTTGTGTAACTATGCTATAAAAATATTTTAAACACCTCATTTTAGAGCAAATATTTTGCAGAAAGCAAATTTGCATTCCAGCCATCATTTTGGTGTTCAGGCAACAACAATAGAGAGCTTTTATGGCTAAACGGTTCTTTTACCAAAAGATTATAGCACTACTTTTCTAGTTGGGCTGTATACTACGTACTTCGTAGTTAAACCGTTTCAACTCTTGTACTGAGTTAAATGCACCTTTCGGTCTGAATATAGCCAAGGATCAGTTATTTGAGAGACACTTTTTTGTCTCATTTTTCTCTCTCCTCTTGTCTCAAAAAGCGAGTTCTACCGCGGTATGATACCAACATTGATTTCTAAAATAATGTTATCCATATCTTTACAGATACCACCCTTTTCGAAAACATGTGTAAGCCAGAAGAAACTAGTAAGTTAGAAACTAGCAAGCCAAAGTGGAGCCACTGGTCGCCCTTAGCTGCGTTAACTACAAAATCTGAGAAAAGAAAGACACTGGACGATTCTGCGTTGGAGGTAAGGAAACATTGGTTAACATTGTTTTTTTTGGTTTAGTCCTGGATTTAATATACTAAAATCTAAACAAAAGTTTATCAGATATCGGGATTTCAAAAATTGTAATATGGAAAATTTTCAATACGATCTTAGTAGCTTTCCTTGGGATGAACTATTTGAGTCAGATATCATTAACCAGAAGGTATCATATTTGACTCTTGGTATCAAGTCTACTTTTGATATTCACGCACCCTTAAAAATTGTGCGAGTCAATAAGCCGTTTGCTCAGTGTGAAACTTTTAATTAAGAGGAAAAACGAAGCTTTTACTCAATTTAGACGTGATGCATCAGAGGAATCATAGAAATTTTACAAAAGATTACGGAACTCAACCTTAGGAAAAATTAGATTCGAAAAGGCCGCTTATTTAAGATTCCTTAGTGAACAGAATGACTCTGTGAATTTTTATAAAGCTCTCAAATTAATGCGTATACAAAAATCTAAAAATAGCGAGATATCCCACCCATCTCAAAGACCCTACAGAAATAAACAAATATTTTTGTTCTGTTTTCAACAATAACATTCATCAATGTTCAGAAAAGATCTCTTTCTATGAAAATATTTATTTTTGTAGCCATAAATTCAGTTTATGTCCAATAAATTATGCAGATTTACGCTCAATATTTCAGACCTTAAAATCAAATGCATTTGGAACTGACGGAATATCACTTGAAATGCTTAAATTATACTAAGTGACATATAAATCCGAACACCCAGTTTAAATGGTTTTATTTTAATAAAATTTTGCATAAGTACTTAATGAAGCATAATAAGTAAATGATAAAAATTTCAAAATGATTGCACTGCTTTAAAGCCCTTTGACCTTTAATAATGTGTGGATGCACCCTGATGTGCTACGCATTCTCCAACGCGCCTAGGCATGCCTCTGATCAGGTGGTCAATGTCCTCCTGTGGTATTTCATTCCAGGCAACCACCAACTCCTCTCGAAGTGCTTCTAGAGTCTGAGGAGGACGTTGCAAATTGAGCAATCTCCTACCCATCATATCCCACACGTGCTCAATTGGGGACAAGTCGGGAGATCTTGGTGGCCATGGTAACAATGTGACATCATTATGTTGAAAGAAGTCTATTGTGACTCTTGCAACATGTGGTCGGGCATTATCTTGTTGGAAAGTTGGATCTGCCAGGGTGTCAAGATAGGGTAAAAGATGGGGTTCTAGAACTTCGTGGATATAACGCTGCGCGTTCATGTTACCTCTGATGAAGATTAAAGGTGACCTGGAACCATAAGCTATAGCACCCCAAACCATAACTCCAACAGTGTGATGAACATGTCCTTCAACAAAAAACTGTGGATTCCTCCTTTCACCACGTCGCCTTCTAACCCTGGCACGACCATCGTGCATGCCTAAACAAAATCGAGACTCGTCACTAAAGACAATACTGTTCCATTCCTGATCCCAGAGTGACCGTTGTCTGCACCACTCAAGGCGATTACGTCGGTGTTCTCGAGTTAAAGGGAGGACCCAGTGTGGCCGGTATGAAAACAAGCCAAAACTTCTCATTCGTCGGTAAACACTTCGCATGCCAATAGGTCTTCCGTGTTCTGCAAACCATTCATTTGCAATGGACCTGGTAGTGGAGAAACGGTCCCTTAAGGCCAATAATCTTAGGCGGCGATCTTCACGGTCTGTTGTTCTACGGCGGCGTCCAGTGCCCCTTGCTCTTTGCGTACGGCCTTCTCGAAGCCATGCCTGACAACACCTAACCACAGTGTCTACACTTCTTTGCACTCTAACTGCATATGTCACTTAGTATATGTTTTCCCCCAATTTCAATACATACATTACGTATAGTAAATAAATGCTTAGAAAAAAGTATATTTCCTAAAGCATGGAAAAGCTCTCTTGTTTTATCTTTGTCCAAAGCAGGTAATCCTAGCTCGTATACTGACTTGAGGCCTATTAGCATTTTGCCTATACTTTCTAAATTGTTGAAAAAAGCAATGTATGTATACACGAATAAATGAACATGTTTTGAAATACTACCATCTAGACAGTGTGGTTTTAGGAGGGGTTGTAATCAAACTACTGCCTTAATTCTTTTAGATTTTTCTAAAGCGCTTGACACCATCAACCACTCACTCTTAATGGCCAAATGGAAATTTTATGGTTTCTCTGAATCATCAGTTGCTATAATAAACAGCTTTTTAAAAAATAGATCACAAAGGGTTGTCGTCGATATGAACACTTCTCCTGCGGATTTAATTTCATCGGGAGTGCCTCAAGGATCGGTTCTTGGGCCACTTCTTTTTATTTTATATATCTCCGATCTTGATGAGGCTATTAAACGCTGCAATATTCAGTTTTTTGCAGATGACACAATAATTTTAATACTGACAATATAATAACTGCTGAGGCTCAAATTAATGAAGACTTGAGGTCTATCGACAAGTATGCAAAAATTCATAATCTTAAATTAAATTCATAAAAATCAAAAGTAATCATATTCACTCCTAAAAAATATAGAAATCAAATTAAGAAATATTCGACAATATCATTAAATGGTGAAATTATAAAAGTATGTGAAACTGTAAAAAATCTAGGCATATCTCTTGATGAATATCTGAATTTTATCACTCATGTGAACAATGTTAAAAAAAGTTGTTTTTTAATACTTAGGCAATTATACTTGAACAAACAAATTCTCGATTACAAAACTAAAAAAATTCATTAATTATTTCAAAAATTACATACTGCAACATTGTTTATCATCCGTTTTTTGATTCATTATCTGTCAACCTTACCTCCTCGTTCATAAAATTGGTTATCTATTCCTAATCTATTTAAATTACCTCAATTCCCCCATTTTTGAAAGATAAGTTGAAATTTCGTGGTTCTATGCACTCACGAGATATTCGCTTTATTGATACAATAACAATTGCTCCTCACAGAACTTCATTTAATGTTTTACTTATAATGCTACTATCATGTACAAAGCCTCTGATACTAAAATTTTAAATTTGAAGAATTATTTAAGAAAAATAATTTTCGAGCAATCATTTACATAAATTTATTTCTTACTTTTGCTTATAATATATGCATCAATATGTATCTATAATGTTATACTTTTATCCAATCTTGATTTACCTAATCATTTAATTTATTATTTTTTTTTATGTTGAAACTCTGCATTTTCGTGGTTGGTATATTTTTTTAGGTGGACATTTTACGGGTTAAGTGGTAGAATAGCTTATGCCCAATAAAGACGTTTTATTATTATTATTATTATTACCATTATTAATAATTGCAGTTAAAATAGACAACTCACTGACTGTTTAAGTCTCAAAACTAAGTATTAAGAATATGAAATAAGACGATTTTGAACCGTATTTCTTGAATTATATAAGTAAATTCGTTTTTCAGAATAGCGAAGTGAAGGTAGTCGCGCTTCGAAGCTACGATTTCACAGGACTTGGTTTCAACATTTGCGGGAACATCAAAGATGGAATCTACATCAAGGACATTTCCCATCGTGGCCCTGCGTTTGTTTCGGGAAAACTCAACCCAGGTGAAATAAATTTCCATTAAACAAGTATTATTATTAAGTAGCTTCAAGTACATTTAATAAAAAAAAAATAGATGTGAGATAATTCATAATCATATATCATATTAAACTCACTACCTTTTTTTATTGTTAATTACTTGCTTTTACGCACTAGGTACATTTTACGGAATAGTTATTATGACTATCATTGTTACTTATATTTATATTTATTATTGGATTTCCCTTGAATATGCTCATGATATAGATACAATTTTTTTGTTTTGTTTTTAAGGTTGATTTGGAAAACACCACTAGGGTAACACTCCACCTAATCAATTTTGCAATTCTGCGGTTTTCAAGATATTATTCTTTTGTTTTATTTTGTGTATGCAAAGTTGGATAAAGGCACATTATTATACAGGGTGTAAACGTTATGATAGTCATTATTGAAATGGGTAATAGGGGGGTCAAATCAAGTCAAAAAGTTCATATGGCCCATGGTCCAAAAGTCAATAGATTTTTGACTAAATGGTTTTATATTTTACAACTTTAAGTGGTTTATATCGACCACAATCACCACAATCTTACTGATTTTTATAATCTAATCTAAAACATTTTTAAATTGGGTAATTAACAAATAAATGGCATTAAGTTTTTCCAAGTTAAGCCAAAATTTGTAGTCAGTAAGTAAGTTTCATTAAATTAAATATTTAAAACACACATGACAACAACGCGTCGGTTTTTCATCACGCTTATCAAACCAGCAATCGATCGCAAATGGTGACAGTGGTAAGTTAACCTTTTGCATAGTTTTGCGGAGTTGTCAGATTTATTTTTTTTAAAGTCGCTTTTCTCTAAAAAAAATGCCGTTTTGACCCCCACGTTATATGAAACTTTTTGCTTCTTTTAACACCCTCTATCACCCATTTAAATAATGGCTATCATAACGTGTACAGCCTGTATAGTTACACAGGTAAGTCTGGTGATCGCGTACGCCTTGAAAACAGACTTTCGTTACCAATCCACCGCTGTTGAAATACTGCATCAATATCCTCTCGCACAATAATAGCAAAATACAGATTTAATTGTCTTTTTCGCATATACCTATAGTGAATATGCATTTAAACAAAAAATATGTCTTTTGTTATTGTATTACTTACTTACCTTTTAGCGATATTTTTAAATATTTACAAAAAAGGTGATTTTATTATCATGGATAAAAAAGAATTACGAAAAAATTAGTTTGAAAAAAATTTAAGGGATTTTCTTTGCCCTAAATTTTAGGGTCGAAAGTAGATATCGAGATGCAGTTATCACGAGCTTGTCCAGACATCGTTTAGCAACTTTTCCATAAAAAGAAATCACAGCAATGCATTTAATGTTATTGAGAAAATAAACCATTTCTGTCGGAATGTGGAAAAAAGCCCTCTGGTGGCCACATGTGAAACTATCAAAACTTCAAATATTATAACATTAGAGAATAGCTCTTTTCAACTAGTGTGTTTTTACGAAAGCTTTGGATACCCCAACACTTTATTTATTGCAAAAATTGTCAAACAAAAAAGTTCACATTATCCTCGACTTTCAAGATAGCGGAAGGACTTTTTTGCCGCAAGCTGTGCTGGAATTTGGATAAAATTTTTATACGAGGTACTACTACGCCAAGGACGAAAAGGCTTCGTAGTTTTTGATAAATCGGTCGAGTACCAATGTTGGGCAAGTAAAGCAGGCAAAGCTATCTGATACAACTTAAAAATTAACTTGATCATGATGAGTTGACAAAAACAGTACACTTGAATTATCAGTCTAAACCGTATTATAATTTCAGGTGATAGAATTAGCAGTATAACGATAAGTTTCGAGCACATCGTTTACGAGGATGCCTTGAACATTCTGAGCTACGCGAGTCCCTACGAGGTGATCATAGAGGCCAAGAGCGGGAAAGTGATACAGACCCCTACTCAAGGTGGACAGCCCATTCATCCTATGTATAAGAGTACTTCTTGTACAAATCTGTGGCACGTGAGTAGATTTTGAAGTTTCTTATAGAGTTAGCTCAAATACGGTTTATTTTTTTAGAACAAGAATCGTCAAATACAAAAATGGGAAGGAGTAATCATTTAGACTGTTCTAAGATTATTTTATTCTTTGAAGTTATTTCGAATAGTTTCACGTGTTATTGTGTCTACGGAATCTGAAAAGTTGTAAAGTGGTTTGCATTTGACGGTATTAAAACCTGCTATGCAGGGTGTTTCAGTTTGTTGTTGCATAACTTTAAGATTCGATAGAACTTTTAAAATTAATGCTTAAAGTCTATATAAACATGGGTCGAAAAATGCGTGGCATCCGAAATACAGAATGTTTGAATTTACTTTCTAAAATAGTTTTTTTTAAATATTTCGAACACTGTTTGATGTAAAACAGTGAAAATCGGTACACAAGGGTTTTTTGGTACGACAAAACGAACCATGGGCATAGTTTTACTGTAGCCGCTAGAGGGCGCTCTCTACTGTACCTGTAGTGTATTAAAATGACCGAAGTTTTTTTGTTAGTGCAATTTTTTGCTTTTTGAATAAAAAAACTGATTCTTCGCACTTTTCAATATAAAAAAGCTCTCCTGTGAGTTTTCGTTATAGTTAGCCGTTTTTGATATATTCCGATTTTTAAGGTTCGATGCATTTTTAATTATTTATGGGAAAATAATATTTTTTTTACATTTTCGATTTGGGCATTACAAGTAATCAAGATGATCGTTTAGATTATGTTTTTAAACACAGCAATAATTCCTAACTCCAAATAAACACAAAAAACAGAATATTAATTTGTTTAATTTTCCAATATTATTTTTAACAAATTAAATTAATTATTTACAACTAAAATGCTATTGGATAGTTAGGACAAACATACAAAATTTAAAGTAGTTGCTCGAAATGTAAACCCAATTGTTCAATACACAATTCACATCTACGAATGATCGAACGTGGTATAGCATTATTCAAATAAGGCCTTATTTCATCACATGCATTCCTGATTCTGTCTATTAGCATATCTCTTGTGGTTACGGGAGTCTGGTATACTTTTTCCTTTAGAAATCCCCACACAAAGAAATCTAATGGATTTAGGTCAGGGGATCGTGGAGGCCAGGCGACTGGTCCTCCACAGCCGATCCATCTTTCTGGATAATTTTCATCCAGCCAGTTTCTAACTATTCTCGAATAATGAGCAGGACAACCATCAAGCTGGAACCAGGCCAATCTTCTTAAATCTAACATAACATCATCCCACATATTTGCATGTTCAGCCTTTAAAAATTCCAAGAAGGTCGCAGCATTTAACCTTGCAGGCAAAAGGTAGGGTCCAAATAGTCGATTACGGTAGATACCAATCCACACGTTCACACTAAATTCATGCTGAAATTTTCTTTCCCGAACTGCATGCGGATTTTCATGCGACCAAATATGTTGATTATGAAAATTTGCCACTCCACGTCTAGTGAAGCATGACTCATCGGTCCATAAATCGATACTTAAAAACTCCCTATTATTATCAGTTCTATCAAGAATCCACTGCCAAATGTGATTCTTCGTTCTCCGTCCCCTGACTGTAGTCTTTGCACAGGTTGCAAATGGTAAGGACGTCTATGGTCATTTCTAAGAACACGGTGAACATGGCTCGCTGAAATTCCCAAGGCACCAGAAGCTCTCCTAACACTTGTGGTCGGAAAATGCATCGAACCTTAAAACTCGAAATATCTCAAAAACGGCTAACTATAACGAAAATTCACTAGAGAGCTTTTTTATGTTGAAAAGTGCGAAGAATCAGCTTTTTCATTCAAAAAGCAAAAAATTGCACTAAGAAAAATTTTTCGGTCATTTTAATACACCACAGGTACAGTAGAGAGCGCCCTCTAGCGGCTACAGTAAAACTATGCCCATGGTTCGTTTTGTCGTACCAAAAAACCCTTGTATACCAATTTTCACTGTTATACATCAAATATTGTTCGAAATATCTAAAAAAAACTATTTTAGAAAGTAAATTTAAACACCCTGTATTTCGGAAGCCACGCATTTTTCGACCCATGTTTATATAGACTTTATGCATTAATTTTAAAAATCCTATCGAATCTTAAAGTTATGCAACAATAAACTGAAACACCCTGTATATAAAAGCAGCCAACCATCCTGATATTGTAAAAACTAGGACTCCATTATCTGGCCTAATCAAACGATAAACATGTTTAAATATTTGTTTTTTGTACTATGTTTCAACAACCACTGTGGCCTTTTTCTAGTACAATTGATAATTTTGTGACGATGTACACTACTCAAAAAAAATTTAGGGAATAAGAAAAAAAATTGTAGGAAGCTTTTATGGCCTTCTTGATTTTCGTAGTCTTTTCCCTCCTTCAAAAAGGCTGAGTTATTTCTGGATGTCTAGTCTTCCGAGACAGAGTCAACGCTCTTCTATTTTGAGGTTATGTTTTTTTTTGAACGTCAAGACATTTCAGGCTGATAAAAGAGATGATAAAAATCAAGTCTTATCGGCCTGAAATTTATTAGAATTCAAATACATACACATAAAACATAACCTCAACACGGGCACGGAACAGTAGGCATCTACAAATACCCCAGCCTTTCGGAAGGAAAGAAAAGACTATGAAAATCAAGGAGGCCATAAAGTCGTTCTATATCTCTAGGAATGACTGACGATACCGCCTTAAGATTCTAGTTTTCAGAACACTAGAATCTTAAAGCTTCAGAATTTGTAAAGTCTGGATACGATCATTTATTACTGAAATACAGCCTCTTAAAAATCACCGAAATTTTTTTTCTTGCTTCCTTAATTCTTTTTGAGTAATGTATTTTGTTTGTCTCTCTTCCAGGTGACATTTTGTTTCTTTTTACTTCCTGCGCCATTGGGCGAGGAGGTATTGTAATAATGCTTTTGGTGTATCGTTTGTCAAATTGAAACGGACAGGGGAGGTCTTTTTCTATCACCCCAGGTCTCTCAAACAGTTTTTAGCCCAACGGCATTAATTATGTAGATTTTTTAACTTTTTTTAGTAAAAACTCCAAAATGTAAGTTTGTACACCTAATGATTAATTCATCTTAATGGGTGATGTACCAATCTTACAAAATCAACATTACTTGCCAGCAGCAGGTAGTGTTTTATTTATAAGCTCACAAAGGGTTACAAAGAGGAACAAAAAAATGTAAGTCTCAAATTTGAATTTCTGTAAAAAAAAACTAAAAGCCTTCACGTTCTTAGAATTCTTTTAAAAACTACTCTAGTTTATGCCGATACTAAGGGTATGCCACAAGTCACAAAAAAGTTTAACCAAAGACAAATAAAAATCACTCAAACTTCGTTTTTTGACGTTTCAGAGGCTGCTAATTATTTCCAGAAAAATTTGTATAATAATAACACGCCTTCATTCGATTTATTTACAGATTAATTATTATTTTGTGGAAAGTGAGATACTATAATTTGAAATCAAAGAATCAAAAGGACGAAGTGGTACCTTTAACCTAAAAATTAAATGTACAATCATGAATAAAAATATAGTCGTACAATGATAAAGTAATACATAGGATTTGTGAACAATGCTGAATACATGTTTAAATTTCACGTCATTTAATCATAATACCCATATAAGTCGAAAAATCGTACAGTCTTATTCTAGCTGAATTTTTTAAAAGTGCTCTTATATTGAAATTCTAAGGTGGCGGTTTTAGGGAAAACTATATGAAATTTCTTTGATATCAATATATTTAAACGCTCCAAACCCGCGGTATTTCCCACTTATTAGCCGTATTGCAATCATCATAGATTTCCCCGTTCACTTACGTTCAAAATGATATTTTCGTACTTCTGCTATCTAAGCTCACCTCCCGGCATACCACGCAGATGTGGAAACGGACAATGTTGCCAGATCGACAGTAACTACCGGTAGGGCAGGTAAACAATGTCCATGGACTAATTATATGGACCTGACTTGATCCGTTTAATTTCTTTGTTGTACATGCCAGCAACTAACTTTTTTCCGAGGGTTTAAATTGCGGTTTATGAACTGATGATGGCGTTTCGTATGAAGTGCAGAGTCAAACCACTTGACGCCCTTTTTTAATGCACCCGATACACCACCCTCGTCCATCGTCCCGAAAACGCCAAAAGCCCCTGAAACGCAAAGACCCACCGAGAACTGTCTAAAGAAATCTTATTTTATTTCCAGTCTGAGAAATCCCCGGGGACTCGCCTGTTTGCCGACACTCCAAACTCCAGCCTGCAAAAACAGAAGAACCACGTCACCAATTTGGAAAGAAAAGACTCCAAATCTCCAAACGTGAACCAAGCGCACCACAAAAAATCGAAGCCGTTCAAATCAACACCGGAAATCAAACCGTCGCCGGAACCAAGAGTGGCCGAACCTCAACCGAAAGCTAAGGAAAGGTTACAACAGAAAAGTGACCTGGAGGTCCAGAAGACAGAGAGTAAGTTCCAGAAGTTCGGAGTGAAGGTACTGCCGTTGGATCAGAAAAGTCCAAAAACACTTGAACAGAACGAAAACAACATCAACATAGAAAAATTGAGTATTGACGAAGTGGATGATACGAAAATGGCAAAACCAAGTGTAGTCGTTGAGAAGGAGAGGTTTGAGCGAGGGAATATGCAAGGGTCGGGTATCAAGAGAGATAAGGACGGAATTCCTCAGGAGATACCTGAACATATGTTCAATGCTGCGCTGGCTGTCGCTGCAAAAAGAAACAGAAATAGCATGGTAAGCAGTATTTATGTCTATATTATCTATAACATAGCTCCACAAAAAAGTCGAGATACGTAAGATACATTACGATATTTCTTTGTATCTTTCAACGCTAAATCCAAATCAGGAACTGGACCACTCTGCAGGCCAAATCTGTTTTCTACTGCATTCATTTCAACTTGTCGATTTGATTCCGGCACGGGTCTTACGTATCACTATATGATGAAAATATTTTATATATAATGCACATGACTCCCGAGGTTTAATGATAACGAAAACCTTTGACACTATTTCCGTTTTTTCAAATTTTAGAAGGTAATGCACCTATATTTTTGAAAACCGGTTCAATCGCGTTGATGGCAAAAAACAAAAAAAATGCTTTTTTTAAGAACTTTGTATTTTCATCTGCTCAAACTTTTTGTGCGTACCTCGGGTTTCTAATCATTCTAGAGCGTAGGGCGACCATAGTCTGTCGAGAATGCAATAATTAATATATAAAAAAAAACAATTTTTTATTTGTGAAGCTTAAGAACATGATCGAATCTATCCCTTCCTCTATCTTCCTTCAAAACTACTCACTTTGAGTACGAGTATGATTTAGGGATTTAAAATGATCATGGTTCTCTAGTCGACAGTAGCTATAGGTAACTTTAACATCAAGGAAGAACACGTTGATATTAAACGCCCTCGTAACTGGGACCTTAATTAACGATGAGACACCCTCGCAATATCGACGCTTATGCAACAAGTATTACGCCGCCGTGCATCGAGAGCGGTATAGCTTGCGGCGAAGGATCGGCCGATATTGGGATCGTCCGCAATGTCATCTAGAAGGCTCGCGTTACATCGGGAAGTATTTGACGCCATCTGGACGATTTTACGAAAGATCGATGTCGATCGAGAATAAGCGGGAGCGTACTTTTATCGATAGAAAATAAATTTATCGTTACCCAAGTTGCGAAAAAAAATTTCGCTGTTTTCATGGAAAATCTGGTTTTAAGTCTAAACGTGGAATATATTTTTTTCTTGGAACCAATAGCAATAACTTGAAAAGTGTATGGTATAAGCGTGATATCAAAAAAAGTTTCCAAGGAAAGCTATTCAATGATGTAGAAATATACAAGGCGTTTCATTTGAAACTTATGAGAAAAATTTCATTTTGCGTTTTGAGATACCCTGTAAATAGAAAGATATTTTAGTATCTCTTTCAGATCAGCTCAAAATCAATGGGAATAAAGTCTTTGTGAACTAAAATTTATCTAAATATCTAAACAATTGACAAGCGAAACTATATGTTATATGATATCAAACTTCTTGTTTTCAGAAACACTATCCAAATATGTGGAAAAGTTATGGAACACCCTACATATTATAATAATTTTAAAATATGCACTAGCAACATAGCAAGGTTTTCACGCAAAAAGATATTTGATATCGTTTCCAATTTGCTCATAAAGCTACTTTCCACTTTCGTTGGGACACTCTGTATATGCTCAGAAGTTACTGGCTCTTCTGCCGTTCTCTCAGATAGGTTGTCAAATATGTTACGCCAACGAGTTCTTCTCGTACATGCATCGAACGTTCTTTATTTTAGCCGCCAAAAGAGCCCGTACCAACGGAGCCCAAGGAAGAACCCAGGACTCCGAAGAAGAAAGGCAAAGCACCGTCACCGCCCGATGAATCGAAAACTGCTAGCCAAGAAATCACCCAAAAAGACACCAGCGATTCAAATTCAAGGACATACAATACCGATTCCGAGGAAGAAGTCGACAACAGTTCATCAGTGAACACCATGGAATTGAATTCTAGTGATATCACCATCCACCAAACTGAACAGGTGTGTATGTTAACATTTTCACCCATATTCCAAAAGAGGATCTACAGTGAACGTCGTATCATGAAAAGTGTAGGCTTACGCGGCCATTTTTTTTTCTACGAGAAAAATAACTTCTCACGCATGCCATGACGATCCTATCGTCATATATGAGACTGTAGCATATTATCTAAATTGCTAGAGAAAGTCATGTCTCCTAGACTACGAATATATTATTTTGCTGAAAAATCTGGTATCCTTAATACATCTCAACGTGGATTTGGAGCTGAAAGATCAGTTGAAACTGCTAGTTGTCAAGTACTAGAACACGTCTATAGCAAACTTGACGAATACAGTGTCTTTGCTTTTCGATCTGTCTATGGCAACATAAAAATATTTTGTGGCAAAAATTATATACTATGGGTATAATTGGCGAATACTCTCATACATGGAGGGCAGAAAACTTACAAGTGAACCTTGAAAATACAGTATTCGATGTGTAACCTGTTGAGCAGGGTGTCCCTCAGGGATCTATATTAGGGCCACTGCTATCCAACTTATATGTAAGCGATTTTTTTTTCAATAGAATATTAACGTTAATATCGACTTCTCAACAAGTCCAATTTTTTAGGAAAAATTCCCATCTTTGAGTGTGTTAAAAAGCAAGTCAGGAAAATCTTCGTAAATTTATTTTACACTTGAACAAACAAACAAACATTCTGCAAAGTTGTAATGTAATGTAAAATTTAATTATGTATGTGGGTATTACTTTACAAATTGGCAAAATGACGTCCAGTTGCATCCAGATATTTTTGACAATTGGTGACTGTTTTTCGTACTACCTTAGCTAGTCTATTTCTGTTAATGTTTCTAACTGTGCTGATTTTTTTTATGTAAGTTTCAGCATGTTTACCTGAGAAACCGCCATCTGAAAAGCGGACTTATTGCAGTATACTAATTTGTCTTCTTTTCAACTAATATTTATTGAAAAAAATGAGATGTTAAAAAGCCAGGACAATCAGTGTATACGGTGAGATTCAAATTTGGCTGACGTCGTATTGCGTGCGAGAGAGAAGCGCGATTTACAGAGTGTCCCAGATTCGCTTCTCTATACAGTGATCTCGGCTTATGTTATACTTAGAGCAAAGGTTAAATGGGAAAAGTTTTAGAGGACACTTTCGATAGCCGGCTTCACATTTACGATCGGTCAATTCATTTTGAAAATATCAGCGAAAAACAGAAACGGAATTTGTTTTTGCCAGTAAATCCAAAGCGTTTAATTTGACAGCTGTCAAAATGTGATATTATCCGGACATTTTTTTCAAGAAAAACAAGATAGCATGTATGACATGTCTCAATCGTCTTTTGTTTCCCAACAACCCGCCTTAACTTTAATTTTTCTTATGGCCGCCATATCGGATTGTGATGTCTCACAAGTACATAAAAGATTGGAGTATCACCGAAAATCATCACACGTTATGTTATGTATTATTTTTTTTAGGAGGCCATGATTTATTTGTCAGAAAATCACATTCATGAGTAAGGCATAAAAAAGATCGCTCTCTGGATTGCATCTATTTATCTCTGTCGCATCGGATCAAAAAATGAGTTTTGCGCGTTATGTTGTACACTTATACTTTATATTTATTATTCAGGTGTGAGATGTTATCAAATTGTTGTGAAGTATTCTTCAAGTACCGATTTTTTTAATGATCAAGCAGATAAGAAGGCAAAGTCTGAATACAGAACCCATTAATCATCTGAGGATTGTTTGACAGACGTTATCTCCACAACAAAGTCGACAGAGATTAAATTGTGTGAGCATATCCACTGCGAAAAGATTGACTCTATACTTTCTCCTCCTCCTCCGATAATATTCGAACTTCGGTTCACTAGTTTCCCGTTGCCTAAAGGTACCTGCATCACACAAGCCCGTGTTTCTCATTTATGTTGTTTTGTCAGTTCATGTCTGTTGTATAACAAAACGTCATAAGTACTGAGTCGAACTGCTTGACGAAATATTCAGAGAACCATCCTAGATGAAGTAACATAAACATAAAGGTTAGGCAGTACAATGATGGAATTCAAAAAAATTACGATTTAATCGAAAAAATCATATTTTTGGTTTTTTCTAAAAACTTGCAACACTAAATAGGTGCAAAAGATTTTTACATCGAAACAAAAATAACGGGTTCAGGCGAATTTTTTCCAGTGCACTAATCGGCAGAAAGGATTAGTCACACAGAAATGGCTGATTTGTAACCAATACGATTGTTGTTTGCAAAATATAGCTGCAAAATGCAAATAAATGAGAAACCCACCAACTCCACCAATGCAAATCGAAGAGTGTATTTCTGCCACTTCTCTCGCAAAACAAAAAAACTCGTTGAAAGAACTAGTCCGGCAAAAAATGTTTGACGCTGATTGGTCAACCAATACGATTATCGTCTGCAGAATATTCTACGGACTCTCTGCTAGCATGTATGGCTTGTAGGCGGGTCTTTCGTGGTTTCTTATCTCTCGCAGGATATTATTGGTTATTTAGAATTCCCTTTGCTTGCTATCATGTAGCAAACGTTAGGATGGGATTTTCAAAATGCGCTGACAGTGGAGATTTTGCTACTTGTCGCGACAGTTGATTATCAATTAGTATGTGCACAAGTTTCTTTTTCTTATTGTGGTTCATACGTGATGCCGAGCGACTGGACATATATTCACATTCGTATTGTAGCGTTTTTCTTGGTTCTTTTGGGTGTGGATTAAAACACTGGATTCCACATAAAGAAATGCACTAATTTATTTAACTGGATAGAATATTTATGTACATCACTATTTATGCCTGACTAATTCTTATATCGCCATTGACTGCACTATACTCCGCTCTGCTACGCTACCGTATTCAGTACTCTGCTTCCATCTCCTGGCCGCCGAGTTATATATAGTCCCCATTGCTGCTTCGAGAAAGGCCTGGTGAACCACAAAGGTGACATCTAGAATATTGGAGGTCACTTCGTGTCGATCTAGAAGGTGAGTCACTGCCACGGTCCTCACAGACGCCGCCAAGCGGCTTGTGCGCTCGTGATTCGCGTATAAGCAGAGATCGGCCATGTAGCTCTGGCGAGTAGGAGACTCGCCCAACAGATGGCGCCAACAGTATATACACAATTCTAAAATGTGTACGCTTAAAATAAAACTATTATTTGGTCGTAGAGAATAAACTAACGCATATTTTCAACGTGAATCTTAATTCAAGGAACGACGTAACATGTTGGCCACTATGCACTAAGTTTTCTCTAAAACATTCCCTATTATTTAACCTTTGCTGTAGGTATAACAGGAGCCCAGAACCCTGTATATGTTAGAAAGAGTGCGCCGTTGGCCTCCGTGACCTCGTACTCGGGTTGCTAGGCAACGAGGTGCTTCTATCTCTTTCTAATACACATTCTGCATGCTTCTCTCTCGCACACATTACGACCTCAGTCGTATTTGGTTTTCAGTGTAACGTATGTCCGAAAAGTTTTGGCACAAACTATTTATCGGATTTTTTTTAATGAATAAATTTAAACACTGACTAGTTATCATAAATTACAACTCAATAGTTAACTATATTATCGAGTTATATGGAGTGACCCATTCTGCTCTACCAGACGCAACTTTCTGCGAACGTCTCTCATAAGGTCCTGTACATAATTCAGATCAATATGTATCTCGTAAATTCGCCGTTTTAATTGTTCCTCATCTTGGGCTTCCCAGCCTCAACGATAAACCTTCCTAGACAGTAAAGCCCAAAAATCCTGTATCTCTTGAGTAATGGCATGATGCTAATTCTGGCCAAAATATGATATGGTCATTAGCATGATGTTCGTGAACAAACTGAAGCAATTTGGAAAGGCAGTTATCAATATAGCTCTGACTATTCAAAGATTCACCCTTCACTCTTTCCAAAAAATGTTGGAATATACCCCTGTTAGAAATTGGGCACCAGACAAGGATTTTATCTGCGAATTTCGCTTAATGTTTGTATCTAACATTCCTCTACGCTGTCCATATACAATCGTAAATCTTTTAAGTCTTTAGGTATAATTTCATAAAAGTTTGGCGCTAAATAGAGATATGACCGCTGCATTATAGATTTATGCGGCTGAGGAACTACTGTGCCACGAATTTTGTACCTTGTATAATGATTATGTTTTAATTTTTTGGTCGGTGTTTACAAATTTATGGTAATGAGTGATACTGTGTAAGAAATTGAGAGATTAAACGAACTTACCTAAGTGAAGTTTAATCCTAATTATATGAGCCTCGCCGGAATAAATAAGGATAAGTGTAGTAGTTCAAAGTAAGTTGCAACAATTTGTTTAGTATCATCAAGTTACATATGCGTAATTATATACATATTAGTAACTGCAAACTTAACAGTGATTTCCACTATTTCTCTACAGTGAACAAGAACAACTATTTCTAATTTATTTAACATTAGGCACAACTGAACACTGCAAAGTCAGACTTACTAGAAACTCATGGTTTTTGATAAAATCTTGCGAATGTTTTAGATTTTTCCGTCCACCCCGCGGCCAACCGGATGCTATCATAGCTTATCCCTTTCCTGGAGGCGGCAGAAGTAGCTGAATGTCTACTGCTCTGACCACAAAAAGAACTTATGTCTATACCATTCTTTAATAACATAGTTTTTAACCATCTGCTGATGGTTTGAGCAGAGGCTATTCGATGCGGCCTTTTAAAACATAGAAACAAACTCAGTTCGTTACCTCGAATAGCCTTTGTTTTTTCCAGATATAACAGTAACGTTTTTGCTGGGCAAATATTCACATTATCCGGAAAAAATGGCTAAACTAATGTGGGCTGCATTTTGTTAACGCCAGATGTCTTTATGCTTTTAGATATGCGGATTTCTAACCGATATGAGAAATTTTGAATATTACACACTTCCAAACTAGCTAATGTTTGGACGCGTTGGCCTGTTGCTAAGGCGAGGAGCATGGCCGTCTTGAGAGTTAACTGTTCTAAAGTAGGATTCGTAGAAGATGAATTTTTTATATAGTTCAAAACTATGCCTGGATCTCAGGTGTTGTTATACTTAGGGAGCGGAGGCCTTAAGCAACTCAGTCCTTTGAAAAATATTTTAATTCTGAAATCTTCACTAAGATTTGGCTCTAGAATCTGTGAAAGTGCTGCTCTATATGAATTCAGAGAGCTAAAATAAGACCCCTTTTTGAAATGAAATGTTAGAAATTTAAGTACTGCAGAAACCGCCTGAACCTGATTTTTTGCTCTTCTTAGCAATCTCTCTAATCTCTGTGCAGTGTAAATTCTACTGTTTAGAGATTCAGACATGGTATTCCCAGCTCGCACTCCGCTATTGTTCGATAAACTGTTCTGCATGAAATGTTTTCATTCTGGAATATTCGACAGATTTCAGCTTTGGATACTCGCCGAATTGTAGGTACCTTTTCTCATTTCTAATGTATACGACATCTTAAAGCGAAAACTTCAAAATAAATAAATGTAAACTAACAGTAAACAAACTTTTGTTTCCAAAGGCAACTTGATATTATTTTGTGTTTGTTAAAATTAAAGCCAATGAATTTTGTGCAAAAACTACGTTATAACCGTTGGTGCATACATATTCTTTGAACACAGTATGACACTACATTATTTTTACAGCACGAAGACAAGCAGAACCGAAAAACGGTAAGCACCGGTGATCTGACAAGGATCCAGAACACGAAAAAGACCAAGATAGCAACCGGTACTTTAGAAAGAGCCCAAAGCTTGGATATTTCTGAGTCAACGATACCACCACCTTTGCACAAGGAGAACCTGGAACTGATGAAATCTGAAGAGGATCTCTTCGGAAAAGTTATGCTCACTAAAGAACCACGCTTGTCTTTGATACTGGATGGATTGAACACATTCCAGAGAAGCAGGTAATGATGTTTTCAAAGTTTTGAACAAGGCCGTTTTTCGGCTTAAATTTAATTTGGATGACAATATTAAAAATCAGTTCCTGTAATATCTACTGAAAGAATTAAGTCGATTCCACCCTAAACGGACCACTATAGGTTGTGAATAATTAAATCCATTTTCCATTGTAATATTGTAGCGACTATCTGTGGTTCTCCTCTTCATCCCGCAACGTCAACGCGTGTGTTCCCCAGGGATCGGTCTTGGCACTAACACAGTTCCTCTTACATGTCAACAACCTCCTTTCCTGTACGATCAATCCAATTCACTGCTCATTGAAGATGATACAAGTCTTAAGCAACTTGTGTGTTATTGATCATCATCATGATCCACTATCAGTTTTCTTATCATCAAAGGATGTTTAGTTAACTGTTGGTACCAAGATTTTTATAAAATTTCGTTATTTCGCCATGTTTTCTCAAAACGTATCCCATACATTTCGATAAAGTAGACAGGAAGGATTCTTCAATTTGTACCTTACCCATTCTTTTTCTTCCCTTTTCAGGTTGAAGAAGTCAACTGAATGGGGGAACCTCGAAGACGCCATCTTAAAGCTGAACCAAGAAGACGATAGCATAGTCAGCCTAGAAGACAACCAATCTTTGGACAGATCAAGCCTGAACGAAACATCACCAGAATTCGATGCTGTAGTCAACAAAATCAACGAAATCAAACGAGAATCGTTAGACGGGGGAAGGCCAGTAAAGAATGCAATTTGGCCAGATTTGAATGGCGAAGAGGAAGTTAAGAAACCCAAAATGAACAATGGACTAGAAGGCATTAAGCCGCTCGATGCAGAAATCATGGAGGAAGTCGTAATCTCGAAACCTGACATGCACATTATGGAGGAGGTCATGATTTCAAAACCGTACGTGGAGGATAATGCGTATGGAATACCAACGAAGCCTATCTCACCTCCTAGACTGAAGAAGGTCAACAATAGGATCGACGAGCCATTCGAAAAGGCAACGCCTCTATCTACAGCTGAAAATAGGCAAGTGAAGGCTAGCGTTGCCGTGAAACCACCTCCAGAAGTTGTTCAAGAACCGGTGGAACCACCAAAGGTGATGAAGAGGGTAAGTATTTTTTTTATTCAAACATAATTACAAATAAAAATAATCAGTGAAGTAACCTAACTTCGTAAAATCATAATATAAATTTGTTGTCATTATGTTCCTGACATCGTGATTTTATCATCGACGTACGTCCATTGATTACTTCAGTACAATTTATGTTATGACGTAATAGTCATCTTTCGTATTGCCTAGACGTCATGAGGTTTGTTATCAATCTTTGGCTCTGATGTGATGTAAAATCTGCTTCTGAGATGGCATTACTGGAGGTCTAAGCTGTAAGTTGTATGTCTTGATGATAATTACATTGGGTTCTTGTCTCAAATACACTTAATTGAGATTCAAAACTAGAAATTAGTTGCGCATCCACTTTTTCTTATCCATTCTGGAAATTACATATACAAATTTAAATTTCAAAAATGAGAGACATAAGAAATAATTATATTCACTGTACACTATCGAATTACAAGCTACATACATGCTAACAGTAATTACACACAACGCGGGCGCGGTGATGATTTTCCGTAATTCTCCTGTTTTTAATTTTTAACTTTGAACATAACCTCTCTTCAGCAAGCACAACATAAAAATAACCCGTCGGGCGCAGCCAATAGATATACTTTTATTGGCAGCATATTCAGTTATGATTTTCTCACACAGCAAATATCACTGATTTTATACACATGCAGACCAATACACATAATCATTCAGATGCGATCTTGCTATTCAACCAACAAAACATATGCAACCAATAATGCACTTAGTTTAGTTGAGTGATTCCTCCTTAGATGGACGTTCACAACGATCCTAGTGAGTAAACGTGGAATGACTGTTTGCGCCCTAAAAACTACCTAGTTTGCAAGATGACATCTTATAGGTTTTTTTGACATTTTGTGGGTAGGGTGGAAAGTTCTCTTTTGTTATGCAATATGTTGCAGACTGGTTTCATTCCAACTTTGCGGCACACGCCTCGCAGACTTACGTATGCATTTTATGATTATAAATGATATTTTTTTCAGATTTCGAGGCAGAGGGTTCCAGAAGACAACGCGCCAACACTACCATCACCAGATCGGATATTTCCAACTGAACCGGCGACATCGGAATGGGAAGAAAACATCATGAACACGTCACCACCACCATCCCTGACATTGGACGATCCTACCGATAGCTCACCCCAAGTACCACGTGCACCAGTTAAACCGCAAGAAATACTCTCGCAGATCCCTCTGCTAAACTCTCTGGTACAAAATGAAACAATAAAAGACGCAGTGCTCATCAACAACACGGACGAAGCAAAAAGTGTAGTAACGTATAACACCAAACCAGCACAGTCCAGCATTCTCGACGTAACGCAAAGCTTTTTGTACACAGAGCAACTAAATTCCTGTCAAGATGACGCGTATCCATTCAAAATGTACGGTACTAACGTCTCGGATGATATAAAGGTGTCAAGACACACACAAAGCAGTCCAAAGTCCGATGACGCTAAGTCTAAAGACAGCCATAGACATGTGAGCAATATCAACGTCACTAACAATAACAGAGATTTGCACAGCTTAGAGTTCAGCGTCAATGATGACACTGAACACTACACCACAGCACTTGACGTTTCGAATGTATCCTCGTTGGAGGATAGAGAAAACGGAGACGATAATAGAGTAACGATTCTCACACCGGATCTTATCAAAAATGTAACGTTAGCAGAGGCGATTCAAACACTGGAAAAAGAACACGAGGAAAATAATTCAAATGACACCGGAAACAGCTTGTCTTTAACTTACGTAACGGAGATACAAGTGACTCCTCAAAATAGTTTGACTAACGTGTCTGAAGTTGAGGTGCTGTCAGGATCAGGTCTGCAGAGGAACTTGGACACAGAATTCGAAAATTACGTGAAAAGCTTCGAGGCGAAATTAGAGCAGTTTGAGAGCAACATCCACGGGTTCGACCACAACCTCGAGGAATTTATCAAAGAAGAACCGAGGAGCATCGTTTTCAACGAGTCGATAGACGAGAAAGAACTGAACAAGATACACGAGATAGCTGAAGAACAACTGAAGAAACTCCCCGAAATGAGATTTACGACAGCAAGTTACGAGGCACCATCTAAAATACCGGAAAAGCGTTCTTCCATCGAACAGCTGAAATCTAACTTTGAGAAGAGTCCTTCGAAGTCCGGAAAAACTGAAACTCCGACTAAATCTAGAATCCCGATAGCTACGACAACAAAAACGCCGCCGATGTCGCCAGAAAGACGAGATTCTCGAACGTTCGACCCGGAAAATGACAAGGCTTTGCTCGAACTGATCACGTCTACACCGTACGCCGCCAAACCGAAACCTAGCAGCAAAAATGTGACTGTTACATCTATCAGGAACACGTCCAAGATTCCTTCCAGTCTGCCGACGTTGAGTGGAAGACCGCCCGTGGCCCCAAGGAAACCGGAAACTAACGACAATACGGTCCACGTTCCAGTAAATGGAAGCGAGAGTCACAATAGCTTTAAGCAATGGGTGTTCAACCCGTCGAACGTTACTAACGTTACGGTTACGCAGAACAAGCAGGAGAAATGATTCGCTCTACCTACCAGGTGCCATTTTGTTAAGTTTTATGAAGTGTTGAGTTTGCTTACATTGTTCGTAGATAAGTGTGGATTAAAGTGAGATGTCATTGTACCAACTGTGAATTTGAGGAGAATGACGACCCGAGACAGTAACAACGGAGAGCAACAGGGGACCAAATATTGATGAAACTGTGTTTAGGCTGGATATAGTTTTTGGTGCATTAATTTCACTATACAATCTAAATTCAGATTATCATTTGAAGTAGAACATGTCTTCTCTGACATATCACGTATTTTGCACCTCACTAATAAGGAGAACAAGCTCACATACTTTGTTTGGATTGTATTAGCATGCTCATTTCATTTTATTATTAGTATTTTCCGGTGCTTATCAATAATGTATTTTTTTTAAATTTATTGATATTGTCTACAAATCACTCAGTCATATAAATAAAATAAATAATGTTAATAAAAATATTTCAAACGAATCTCCGTGATGAAAAATAGAAACTGGTATATGAAAGATTGTAATCAAAAGCGATTTTTATCTTGTTTTCGATATATTCAAACAAATTGTGAACACAACATAAATACGTATTATTAATAGAAGTTTTAATTTTTAAGTTGTCATGTAAGTTTTGAGTATTTGTACATAATACATATCTCTATTTTATTAAAATGTATTTTAGCAATATAAAGGGCTGTTAGCTATCTACATGTTTTTATGTAATTTGTATATACTGTAAGTCACATATTTCTACAAAAATATACATTTATTATACTAATTGCAACTTCTTTAGTATCACCCAAGAAATGTGCCTGATCATGATAAACTTCAAGTATATGCTGGAGCAGCTGCAAAGGCAAAAGCCTATCGATGTTATGGCGACTGTCAAAAAGATTGGAAATATTTCTGAACTGTTGGTAGAATCACGAACCTGCAGGAAAAAATGGCATCAAGTGGATTGACTTTATAATTCCCACGTCTTCATTGGAGGTTTGAAAGAAAAGGTATTAGTCAAATCGTTTCAAAAGGCGAAATCAAATCGTGATTAGGTAGGTTCACTTGGGTACAATAATTCTTCCATGGTAGATGTAGGAAAATGTAATTTGTGTGACTTACTATATCTGACAGGTGCAGAGTATAACAGATAAGCAGCTTCTTAATAATAGGTTTTTCGCTGAAACCAAATAGGCAACAATTTACAATCTTTTACAGCATACAACTTCCAACCTACAATTTTCATCACCTCCAAACAATGTATGAAAATTACGAAGAATATCTGAAACCTTGTATGTTCCAGCGGTTTTGTTTTGTACTACCTAAACGATGAAAGTATTAAACTCACGATAATATTCGAGCTTCCATTTCAAGTTATCTGTTACTTAAAGATATCTACATCACACAAGTCCGTGTTTCTCATGTATGTCGCTTTCTCAGTCGGCGTCTGTTGCATATCAATCCGTCATAAGTACTGAGTCAAACAACTTGACGAAATATTCAGAGAACCATCTTAGACAGAGTAAGTTAGGTCATACATAGAAGAAACGCTAAAGTGGTGCGTACTCTTAATATCCAAATATTGCTAAAAAATATAAATGTTTCTCCTGTAGCGGTGCGTCAGTGACGACACCACCGCAGACTAGGTGGAGTTTGTTACCCATTGCACAGTCGGCAGTAGCCTCCACGACGATGCAGCATCTCGCAGTGCACGCACCGTCGACTTTTATCATTTGATTTTCCCGTTGTTACCGGGTTGACTGATACTAAAGACGTTTCATCATCAACCCCAACCCCCAAAAACGAAGTTTAAGAGATTTTTATTTTTTCTTCAGTGCCGAGATACTATCCGTTTTGCGATGTGAATCGGTCAGCTATTTATTTAAGCAATTAGGGACATCAAACAGAGAAAATCTTCATAGACATCCACAGTATAGTTGAACATACTAAGCTACTTACACATCCGGTATTCCTTAATGCGTGTACAATCAATAAGTTGTCCACTGAATACGACACCTCCCAGAACAAGCATTTGCTACGGTCCCGCTCAGGAGGGTCCCTTCATGTGTGAGATATGTCTAATGGATGCGTAGGATCAACGGGACTGGAAGTATACTATTAATACACTAACATCATAAATTGCCACCCCTAACATTTTTTTCAAATGAGATCAATGTCCTCTGAAATGTCAAAACACGAAGTTGCAATGATTTTCATTTTTTTCTTCGTATATTTGCACCTAGCTCCGCCACCACCAGACGAATTTTCAAAAACTACAAAGATTTTTCATCCTTTGCTTAGTAGTAACCTTATGTGGAAATTTCATTAGGTAATACATATGAAATATATTGTTACTGTCACCTTTTTTATCTGTACTTATTCAAAAGGCCTCAGAGGTGGCAGAAACGTTAGTAAAAATTCAAGCCCACGTATGTGGTTTCAATTCATGGCCCAAAAAGATATGTTTTAGATATTACATTAACCAAAGGTAGTGCAAGAAGTCTAATAATGAAACAGGTGATATTTCTTCAGATTCTAAGTAAGACTACAAACTGTTTTTTTAACAAATTTTTACTTAATTGGGTCATAAAATATGTAAAACTGAAATACATTTGATAATAATATATTTTCTACTTACAAAAGTCATCTGATATAATTTTACAATAAAATAATATGTCCAATGTGGATAAACGTAACATATTTGAAAGTATATGATAGAAAGTAATCTTCAGATACATAGCTACTCAAACTGAAAACAACGAATGTATGTAATATTGAATCAATATGAGGCCAGTCATAATCACTCACTGATATTTTTTGTACTGACTAGTTAGTAAAATAAGGGCTGATGCAAGAGTTTCTCCTGGTGCTATAACTACACCACAGCACCTTTGTTATATTTGTAACAGGTCACCTCAAGCTGCAGACTGCTTGTAATTTTTTGTGCTTATTATTTTTTTGCCACACATGGCACATATCCCCTTTTTGTATGCACATGCCTGGCAATAGTGTGATCCAGCCTGATGTACCTTTTGTCTACATATCCTGGAAAAATTACAATGTTTTCAAACACTATAGAATACATTTTTTTCAAAACCGGGTTACATTTGCATTAAGCATGAAAACACAAATGAAATCAGATTAAGAGTGGGGATTTTAAGGAAGGCTCAGTGGTTGTTCTAGTCCAAGATCTGTGAGCTGCCAGACATTACTTATCCTCTAAAAAAATAGTGAAAATAGTACTAACGTAACTAAATTCTGATGACTAATTTATATAGTTTGTAGAACATTATTACAAAGTAATATCCAGCAGTGTCAAATACTTCTCACTGGCCATAGCTTCTGCTGGATATCCTCCCACTAACTTTTTTCTGAGAGTTTTAGAAAAAAATGTTTTATACAAAAGTTTCAGGGTCTAATGTAAAATTGTTCATGCAATTTTAAAATAGCTTTTTCCTCAGACACATATGCAAAAAAAAAACTGGAGAACTGTTTGCCTATCATTTTAAAATAAAACTGTTTTTTGTAAGCAGTCATACAAACAAGTTAGAGAGAAGTCAATTTATACCAGGAAACCTTAGCTGCCTTCCAATGAATTTTTGAATTACCCTGTGTAACTTGGAGTACCAGTAGTATTCAACACCACTACCATTCCACTGCACATTGCATTTTCATACATTGTTTCTGGAGTAGTTTGGGAATGTATCAGTCTCAAACCAAAGCAACTGGAAAGCATTTCTGGTTTAAAGCATCTGACAGAAGTTATGGAAAGCAGGAAGTGTCTAGCACTAATACTTTGTAACAATATTTAAAAGTACATATAAGAATCATTCATCAGAATTTAGGTAAAGTTAGTCTTATTTTTAGTTAATCATTCTCGCCTTGTTCTAGCAAATCAGACCAATAACTACCCCCACTTAGTAGGTATTCAGCTTTTTAAAATCAATATAAACACTACACATTACCTACGTTTTATCTTCCAGAAAACAAGTAATGTCTGACAGCCCTGGGATCTTACTTTGTTAGTGAAATTGGTTGTATTGGTGTTGGATAGTGTAACACCCTGGTAAACATTGAATCTTATGATGATCTTTGATGAAGTCTTTCTTACCTGCAAGTTTCGAACTTTGTGGTGTATGGATTGAATCTGTTTTTCGAGGCTGTTAAAGCTTTGTTCTCGTTTACTACTCTTCCACCAGATTCGGTGGTATTCCTTGCTCCACTTTTCCAGGGATCTGGCGTGATTACCTTACCAACTTTCTTCTGACATTTATCACACACCATTTCAATATTCTGTTATTTTCTTAGTACAATATGCAAATATCATACCATCGAACGTATGATATAAAATAGTTTGTCTTTATTTACCTTTTCCAAATGCAAACAAATAGATAGGTTATGATTCGTGTCATTTTGACGCTGTCGGCTGTCATTTTAATGAATTGGACACCTATGAATGAAGTTTCGAACTACTACTTCTAGTTGTGCTGTGTTGTCACTTTGTCAGCTGCAGGTATACAATATCAGTGTTGTGGATAAGTGTATTCCTGGGTTTGCACAAGCTTTAATGATTGCCTTTTGTAAAACATATATTTAGTTAGTGTATATTATAGTAGCCTGCATCTTCATGAGGATATCTTGCGGCACCCCACCTTTAGCCTCTGTGTGTGTTAGTTAGGAGCTCTGGTGATAACCATTAAATATGGCAACGTTGACGCTCAATTCACATTGTTATCGACCTTCAAAAATCAGATCGCAGATATATATAAAGCTGAAGATAAGTTGATGTAGTTTATCAACATTTTGGTGTTTCAGAAAAACTGTGTCCATCCGAAGGATAAAAAATGTTGGAACCGTTATTAAGCCAACTGAACGAGATGAGGATAATTCTAGCCAGTAGTTCCAAGCAAAGGAGGGCACTGCTGGGCAGTACGGTAAGCAATTGTCAGATGGCGTCATAGGTCATGTACACCGACGATATAATATATTAAATATAAATTTTATATTAATAAAATAATTTCGTCAGAATAGAAGAAACGGTATTACAACTACAAAAAAGAGAACTTGAAGTGCATTTGATCCACCAATTTTTATTTTCCAAATGCTGTCCGAAAAAGTTCCATTTTACTTGAGAAGAATGGAGTTGCTCATTCTTAGCTTAGATAGGAAAACAGAAAAAGTTGTGCGGGAAAAGCGGTGTTGCCAGCACTACTGAGTTTTCTGTAGCAGAACGATTTTTCAAAAATTGGTTATATCTTGGGAGTGAAATTTCATTAGAATACGAATAAGTGAATGTTAAATTTATAATATTTACAACGATTTTAAAAAGATGATTGACTAAATATGCATCCAGAGATACAGAATTCGAAAGATTGCATTTACAAAAACAAAAGATAGGTTAAGAGGGAGATGAAGGTATATTTAAAAAGCGACGTGATTATTTTACTTATACTTTTGATAATGTATAACGGAGGGGTAGATTACCAAAAAAACAAAGTTTGACAATTCAATGTTTCTATTACAACATGCATTTTTCAGAATCTCAAATTTGAAGTAGTCCCATCAGACTACGAGGAAAATCTCGATCCTAAACAACACACATTCTCAGAATTTGTAGAAAAAACTGCGATTGGAAAACTGAACGATGTGTATGACCGTTTAAAAAACGATGTGAAGAAACCCGATGTTGTTATTGGTGTTGATACAATGGTGGCTTATAATGGGCGAATGTATGGAAAGCCAAAGGACAAA